AAATCCCAACAAATAATATAGCTCTATACAGTATCACACACATATATTTGTATTTGTTGCACACGTGATCATCGCTTAATAACTCAATATAGCGCGTCTGCCACTAAAAAACAAATTTCTGTACGGTGTTTTGAAACTCGCAAAGAAAATAAAAATGACAATGTCCACGAAAAGGAATTGGTACTCCTGAAATTATTTCCACAGCGACTAGGCCCCACTATTTCTCGAAAGGGCTCAACTTAAAGGTTAAATAAAATAAATGTCAATACAATTTACGGAAAAAGTGTCAGAATGCGATACAAATGCACATCGGTTCTACGTCGCACACATGAAAGAGCGATGTTTTGTAGTTGTGCTTACCTACCTACTGAGGCATTATTGGTGGTCGGGGAACAGATTCGAAACAAATAGGTGACAACCTGGACAGCCATTTGTAGTTCATTCAGAAAAATATTTAGTCATATGCCAGAGATATGTGCACACAAAGTGTACTCTGTAGTGACAAGACATCGACTGACATTCGATCAAAACAACCAAAGCGTGGACGACACAGCGACGTTCGATTTTCGAACGGAAACAAACGCATTGTGGTTTCTCGTAATCTTATTGGCTGGGAAGTTATACGGTTATAACATTTATGGTAGTAGGGGTGCATAGATTAAATCAACGTGGATGATTATTCGTCCAGTTTCATATATCGGAAACGTGGCAGACAGAGACTTTTAGTCCGAAATGTAATACCACACTGTGACTAACCAAGACGTTTTAGACGTGTTCTAAAGAGCGGAATGATTAGAAACGTTGGTGTGTATATCGGTATAATGCCTTTTACTTTAATTGTCGATCGTGATTAATAGCATTTTATTATTGGCTATATTTGGCATTGGGCTGTGAGCCAAATTCCTACGGTGTTCCCGAGTAGTGAATGTGGAACCTCGTTGATTTCGCCACTCAAGTACTCTCTATTTAGTTTGTATGTACGTGAAATTCGATAAATCTATGATACCCTAACTCACAGAAAATTCACACAAGTGGAAAAATCATTCGATCATTGGCAATACGTTCTGATTCGGATATGTCGCGAATACCGTAATGGTTGAATATTATCAAAGGCTTTCAATAAATATATGCGATAATACAACATTAAGGATAACGTGTTCAAGGACACTGCTATGGAAGGTGAAATATTTACTGGGTTTAATTTTAATAAAAATGACAACTATGTCCACGAAAATAAATTGGTACTCCTCAGTGGCGGATCCAGGGGGCAGGGGGGCCATGCCCCCCCCCCAAACGCATGACGATTCATATAATCTGGATTACGCATAGTTTCTCTGCGATTTACGCTCCGTATACCTTAAGCGAAGCTTGGACCCCCCTCCCAAATACATTTTGCTGGATCCGCCACTGGTACTCCTGAAACCATTTCCACAGCTACTAGCTCCCACTATTTCCCGAAAGGGCTGAGCTTAAAGGCTAAATAAAATAAATGTCAAAACAATTTACGGAAAAAAGTGTCAGAGTACGATACAAAATAATGCACATCGGTTCTACGTCACAAACATGAAATAACGATGTTTTGTAGTTCTGCTTACCTACCTACTGAGACATTATTGGTGGTCGGAAAACAGATTATAAACAAACAGGTGACAACCCGGACAGCCATTTGTAGTTCTTTCAGAAAAATATTAAGACATATGCCAGAGATATGTGCAGTGACAAAACATTGACTGACAATCGATCAAAACAAACAACCAAAGCGTTGACAACAGCGACGTTCGATTTTCGAACAAAAACAAACGCATTGTGGTTTCTCGTATTCTTATTGGCTGGGAAGTTTTACGGTTGTACCATTATGGTAGTAGGGGTGTGTGGATTAATTCACGTGGATGATAAGTCGTGGGTCCAGCAATCTCCTTCCCATAGGCCTTTGCGCTTTACGCAATAGTGCCTCTGCCACAGGCAGCCTTCAATTTTGTGGTCAATCACTTCACTACGCACGGCCATTTTCTTGTACCTGTTACATCTGAAAACGAACTACAAAAAGTGGAAAAAAACGTATGTGACATCCGAACTGAGGTCTGACATTAATAAATAATTAATGTCAGACCTCAGTAAAAACGTAAATACGAGCCATTTTATCGCGGACTATGTTTTGCAAAGTAATGTTACTGTAGTGAAATGGCGCACGTGATACACTAAAACTTGGAAGAAAAAACGTTCTGTTATCGTATATAGTTGGGAAAGAAACATTAAAGACTAATTTTACTGAAAAGAGTTTCCTAACATTTTCGTTCATCTTGTATTCTGGTGAATATTTCAATACTATTTCTGGCTTGGTTGGGTTCGATTTTGCGCGTCTAACAGCAATAGAACACAAAGGTTCTAGTAAGTTTATAAAGTTAGTCATTTATAGTAGAAACTAATGCTTTGGCATGTAGGAAAGGATTGCACTTTTCTAGCGCAAGTCATGTATATCTTAATCTAATTAACGGAACATTTTATTCGGAGTCGGGGCGTGAAACGTCTTATGAAAGTGATTAAAGTAACCAAGTGACTTACGCATAACTTTGTTAACCGACGGGGTCTTGTAGTTCTAACACATTCGAATATGCAAATGAGTTCGATGCTAAGCTGCTTTGTGCAGTGATGATAAGTAACGCGCATCGAACTGTGTGGAGTTCGTGGGTCCAGGTTTCACAGCTCGGGACAGTGGCAGGCAGAGCCCGGGAGACAGAGCCTTTGGAGACCGAGATGTGGTACCACACTGTGACGGCACCCATACGTTTTAGACGTGTTCTAAAAAGAGGAATGAACACAAACGTTGGTGTTGCTGTCGTGTCAGCAAATAAGAGCCCTGGGACTACATCCGAGCAATTCACATTCAAGGATTTGTACACAAAGTTAAGACGAGGCTAGGCTCGTGTACATGGCTGTGTATTGGGTGCCGACAACGTACCAATAAAAACTAGCACCCGTAACAGAGGTATTCCTAACAATTTCTGATTTCTGGTAAATTGAAGTCTTGTACAGTATACATTGTTAAATCACCCAGAATTCTAATAAATATAACTTAGTATCAACATTTCTCACCATATGGCAGCAAAGTTCCCGTAATTCTTCATATAATACAGCACTGCTGCATTTGCTAATAAACAACAGTATTCTGCATTTTGAAACTTGAGGGCAGCGGTCATTAATGAGAGACGGTAACTCCAGGCCTGTGTAACTCAGTAACTAATTCACGAGTTATTTTATTTCATTCATTTCCATAATAAATTTGCTCTGTGTGAAATAAATTGAAAAAAATTAACCATTTATTGGTTCATATAAAGAATACTTTTTTTTGACGATACACACCTTGTTAACTTCCAATTATTAAACACGTTTACAAATCATTGTACAAGTAAGAAAATTGTGAGCCATATTCCTATCCTTTTCCACCAGGTACAAAGCCACACGACTTGACCAGGACCTAGTCACATTTATCTTACTATTACCAGAGATACCATCATGTGGGAAGGGAAAAAAGGGCTTGTCAGCTTGACTTGTGTAATCTTGTTTCCATATTTGGGCAAAGGAGCTAATGCCCATCTCGGGGTCAGTCGTTTTTTAATGGTGAACAAGGCACTCGTTTGGCTTTGTCAAGATAACCTTTGCTCCAGGAGAATTAGCTCACGTGTGGGGTGGATAGGAGGTGCCTTGCACAACTGAGTATATATGGTAGTTTTGCTGGAGCAGTACAAGCAAGTTGCTATGGATACAGGTTTTTACAGTTTGTATTTTTTTTATTTGTAATTTACTTTAAAATTGTAATTTTTCTCTTTATTAAAATTATCAATGAAAGAACAGCTTTCATGAATTATGTTCGGTAATATTTTAAATGTTTACAACAATGACATCACTCTTGGTTGTGACTTGTGAACTTTATTCAACCACTTCACCAGAATTTCATTCAACTCTTTGGGTCTGAAAATAAAAATAATATCAGTTTTGTATAAACCTCCTTTTGAAAACATATGCTGTATCAAATATGATGGTTCACAACGGAATAGTTTAGGTACTTCTGGTATTAATACTGTTTAGCCTTTTCACCACCAGATTTTTTCGCCCAAATTTTTCTGCATTTTTTTTCTCATAATCTTCAATATTTCTGGAAATGAACCATAATTTTGAAGCCAACAGATAAAATTTGAGTTAATTTTCAGTTTTTATGTAAAAAATTGGCAATTTTTGTCCCAATTTTCTCAAGGAAAGTGCAGACTATAAACGGGATTATTTTGTGAATTTATAATGAAAAGACAGAATTGGTGGTGAAAAGGCTAGACTTGTTTTTGTTTGACAATAGATATGATATTTACTTGCAATGAGTTACAAAGAAAATGTTGTAAAACATCTTACTATTTAACTTCATTTGTAACCTGTTTTGTAATCCAAAACCAACTAGTTTATATTCCATTGTTCTTTGAAAAACATAATTAATATTTTCTTGGTGTTTGATGCAACTCGTCTTGGAATATTGGAATGTGATTTTGCATGTTAAAAACACAAAATCACATTTGAATTAAAGAGACATGACATCAAAGAAAATACAACAGCTGCCTGTCGCTGTATTCTCTAGTATTCTGATCAGATGTAAATATTATAAAACAAACAGGATATAAAAAATCAGAAATTAAAAACTTGTCTAAGAAGTAATTTACCATATTTACATAACCACCACGTTCTGACCACTATTTAAAAGTTTGTAAAAGGAAATGTAATAAATTCTTAACTGGGATTTTTTTTCATGAGATTGCATAAGACCAAGAAAAAAAAATTGCAGGTGAGAGGCTTTTATTTATTCATTTTTAAAAATTTTTGATTTTTCATGAAAACTCAGGTTTTTTTTGAAAAAAACACCTACAATATAGCAGATGTGCATGGTGACTATATAAACATATATATATATATATAGTATATATATATAAAAATATATTAGTTTTTTCAAAACAAATATTGTAATTAATATATTTCAATAAAATTGTAACATACTTTTCCACCATTGTCCAGTGTCCACAATCTAGGTTTGCCCTTGTTAAATTAGGAACCTGAAATAATAGAAATGAAATCGAACAAGTCATGATATGACAGCATTCAATTATACAAAATTATGCCTGAATATTCACAGTAACACATGTGAAGCTTAACCCTAAAATAAAATTTTTCTGGAATTTCTGTTGATATTCAAAGGATTCAAGTATTTGAAATCAGATTGAAAACAGAAATGATGAACATGAAGTGCCCCCCTCAGATGTTTTACTTATTAACAAAATTCACCCATTCATAACAGAGATTTGTCATCCGAACTACATTACTGTTTGATTTTGGTGTATTTTTACCACTGAATATGCCATCAGGCGGCCATCCTGAAAATGATCACAGATCGATATACATTCAAAAGTATTACATTTTTTACAAACATGGAAATTATTAATATAAACGCAATAAATACTGAACAAAAAATGTGCAAGACTTGAGCTTATTTTCATTCCTTATAAACTAGAACACTTACCCATGGTTCCATAAGTTGACTTGATTTTGGTGTTAGCACCACATCAAATGAAGCTGTCACCATCAAAGCAGGAGCCAAGATCTGAACAGAGATACAAACATTTAGTAACACGATCGGTAATAATTAGCAATTTCATTCTTGAGCTACACTATTTAAAAGAAATGTACATTTAACAATTTGGCAGTTAAAGTAATGTAATGTAATGTACAGCTTTCAACCTCAAAATCCATCAAATCCGGAAAAAACAATGGAGAAACTAAAATGAATGAAATATGGATTTTATCAATTATTGATCAGAAAGTATCTACTTGTCCTCTCATGTACCATTTATTATTATTATAATCATAATTTAATTATCTCATGCACTAAAGCCAATTGAAAAGAAAAGTAATGATTTTTTGTTTTTCATATTTTTTTCAAAAATTTGTATATACCGGGGTAATTGTTTCTTTTTATTTATAAAAATATTTTTGTTTTTGGACTGCATCCAGACGGGACTAAAAAACATTGAAAATGAACAGTTTGGTATTAGCAGTAAAGGGTTTCAATGTTCAGTACAAGTCACATGTACATGTCCACCAAAGACGTGCATGTACACCATTAACAAACCTAAATGACCACCAGTTGGCCATTTTTCTCTGAATTTGAAACAAACAACAATTATGATGTGCACCTGTAGTTTAGTATGCATAATCATGATACAAAGTTTATATGACTTGCCCTGATCATCTCAGAGAAACAGCTTCTGAGAAATTTTAACTATCAGAAGTTAGCAATTTTGAGGACTAAAATAGCCACCAGTCAGCTATAATTGATCAAATGGTGAATAAAATCAATGTGCATATGCGAGTCATGATACAGGAACTATAAATAGCTGAATGAATGAGTACCTTTCTGTGTGGTACACTGCATCGCCATTTCCAGTTTTCTTCTACTGAACGATACCAGTTCAAGGGACCTCTGCAAAAAACAAAACACAAAATATCAGTAAAGAGAAAAATCACTGCATATAGTTTGCCTACCAGTGTTGCCATATACACATAGAACATAAAGTATGAGGGTTTGTGATTTCATTACTCACCTGAATCCTGATTTCTTGAATTGCTCCACGTAATAATCCAAATCTTGTCGAGTCATACTTTGTGGACATGGTGGGTTGTCAGGGAAATCAACTAATATACCACCTATAATAAAATTGGCATTGTCTTTTTATTACCGATATATATATATTTAATATTATTATTTTTTTTTCATAATGAGCAAAATTGTAATAGACCATTTTCTGTTCATTACGAGATTGTGTGAAATCAATTGTAAACAGGACAAACAATGGTCATGAGCATAGAATACGAGAAAGTATTTTTCATGTATTTCCATACTTAATAATGTGCTATACACATTTGAATTTACCCTGGTACTGTAAAATCCGTATTAAAAGCCATGGCTTCTATTAAAATGGTACAATACAACACAGGGGATGCAGCTTCTATTATCTACACATATGAAAAATGATGAATTTTTGGTTCTCAATTATTCAAAAAGAATGGGTGTGGCTTCTATTAGAGATGCGGCTTTTAATACAGATTTTATGATAGTATGTATCTCAATTACATATTACCTCTCTTAAAGATCGGCAATTTGACATTGAGTAATAAAGTGGATCAAAGAAAGCTTAGAAAGAACTCCCGCGTGCTGAGAGAATTGAATACACATTAAAAATTAATTCAAAATTACTTGTACTTGAGATATTGATGGAATAGCTGAAAACTAATTATGTAAATCAGGTAACTGATATGAACAGATTTGAGTGTAAAACTAATAAGGCCTGCGTAATGTGTACCAAGTTTCATTGAAATGTGATTAGAACAAAAAAACTATGAATTATTATTAGAGAATTAATATGAACAAATTTCAACCCAAAATTAATCGGGCCTGTCTATTGTCCTAGAGCATTTATGTAGCAAATTTTATTCAAATGTGATGATTAGTAATTGAGATATCAGTGTTAATTAATTATTTTAATTAAGTGATTAATAAGCATAAATATTTACCAAAAACTAATTGGGTCTCTGCATAGTCCTAGGTTCATTGAAATGTGATGATGAATACTCTATAAAAGTTTCAATAAAATCCAGTTAGTGGTTCTTTATATATCAGTGGAACATTCATGGAAAAAATTAACTAATTATGCAAATTAGGTAATTAATATCCACAATTATTTACCCTAAAACTAATCAGGTCTCTGCATAGTCCTAGAGGATCTATGTAGCAAGTCTCATCGAAATATGATGATCAGTACTCGAGTTATCAGGCGAAAAGCTGAAATTTTACTAATTATGCTAATGAGGTGATTAATATGCAGTGTCCTATGACATCTATGTACCAAGTTTTATTGAAATGTGATGATTACTACTTAAAATATCAAAAGCTGAAATTAATTAATTATGCAAATTAGGTAATTAATATGTACTGATATTACCCTAAAAA